CCGCCCGCCCTGTGCCGGCCTCCCCGTCCCGTCCCCGACCCCGTCCATCCCCGCCGTCTATCTCATTCCTTTCTCCGCGTCTCCATTTCCATCATTTTGCCTCTGTACCCCTCTCTCTCCCGCTCCTACCTCTGTCTCTAATTCTGTCTTTGTTCAAAAAGCACCATTTTGTCTCTCTCAAGACTGGCAACGCACACAAGCATAATCAATTTACAAACTTCTTTATCTTTGCTTAATCCAGCGTTTCCCTAAGGCCCAGGAGGAGTTGGGGAGTCTGTCCCTGGGTGTCCCCCGCTTCCTACCCAGTCAGGGGCCGCCCTGCCGTCACCCTGAGCCCCGCTCTCCCTGGAGTGATGACCTCTGGGAGAAGCCGGGCGGAGACGGGGAAGGACTGGGGCAGCTTTACCTGGAGACAGAGATCCCCGAGAAGAGGGAACCAAAGCTCGGCCGCAGCTGGGCCGCGCAGTTCTTCACGGAACACAAACAGTCAGCGCATAAACACTGGGCGTCCAAGGCCACTCTGAGCACGTCTGCGCCGAGCCAGAGACAACACTCCGGCCACAAAAATGCACACACAGCCCTCCTGCCCCACGGACAGCTCCGCTTCTGAGATAACCAGCACCCATCTGCTCCCTGCTTCCTGACGGCTCCGAGGATGGCTTCTGCGCTCTCCCACTCTCCTCAAAACTGCCCAGCACATGTCCCGATCCCAGAAGATGCCCGCCTGCCCCCAGCTCGCTCTTACAGACGTGCTCCGTGGTTCCCCAGTATGTGGTCTTTGTCGCTGGGGCAACTAAACAAGCTTTGAGCACAGGTGTGTTTCTGATGGTCTTTGCCCAGTGAATGTTGACACCACCTACCCTTGAATATAGCCTTGAGCAAATCAGGACTCTAGCAGCTGTCTCTCTTCCTTCCTGAACCTTCTAGAACTGTGCTTGCCTGTGGCAGGAGACCTGCTTTTCACCGCCCGCAGCAGATCTGAGAGCCCCGAGACTGCAATTGCATTATGTTGCTGGTTCTTCATCCTGCCACCTCCTGGATGACCCTAGTGCAAATACTACTTGTAATGCCAGCTGTTGTTTCTGTCTGCTTAGCTCCACCAGCACCCTGCTTTCCCTCTGTGGGTCCCCCTCCACTTCTCCAGATGGGCCCGGATCTAACATAACCACCCCAGTGCCATGTGCTCTACACTTATCAAAGAACCCCATCCCCTGGCCACAATGATTAGGTCTGGGATGAGGACATGACTTTGGAGGGTCTCATTCTTGTGGGATTATAAGCTTTATACAGAGCCTCATTCTGCCTGCAGCCATCTTCCTTCGCTGTCTGCAAGGATAGTCTGCAGACTGAAGCCAATCTCCACCGGACGTAACAGTGAGACGCAGCTCTGGCTATATTGGTTCAGCTCTTGGTGGTAACCACGCCTGAAGCCAGAAGCCCTCATTCTGTATTTTGAGCCAACACATTTCCTGGATTTTTGAGCTACTTTTACTGAGTTTCTGTCCCTTGCATCTCTGACAGTCTTGACTAATTTAGAAATTAGTATCTGGAAAAGGGAGAGTATTAAAAGAAATAAAATGTGAACTTGGCCGAGCAGAGGTGACCTGCCTCTAGCCTGGCCGACTGGTGCTAATGGCATCCTATATAATAAAAGGGTAATATGCAAATCAACCAAACGGCTGAAAGACTGGTCGCTATGACACGCACTGACCACCAGGAGCAGACATTCAACGCAGGAGCTGCCCCCTGGTGGTCAGTGCACTCCCACAGGGGACCACCCCTCAGCCAGAAGCTGGCTGACTGGGAGTGGGACTAAGCTGTCAGTCGGACACCCGCTGAGGGCTCCCGGACTGCAAAAGGGCGCAGGCTGGGCTGTGGGACCCTCCCCACCCCTAGTGCACGAATGCCGTGCACTGGGCCTCTAATACATATATATTCACTGTAAAGGGAATAGGGCTTCCAAGATCTGTGCATTGCACAACCTGCCCAGGTGTATATGGCATCCCTGTAGAATAGTCCTCCTCAGGAAACGAAATCTCCGTTATGTGAAGGAAAAATAGCTGATTAAATTGTTGCTATTTTGTCTTGGGACTCTACCCATCTGTTTTCCGAGACTGAGGCTTCTGGGCTTTGGAGGGAAATATCAGGATGCTGTAATATAAACAGAGATTAGCATCCACACAATCTTGTGAGAATGCCAGAGCTGAATTCTCTGCCCCAAACTAAAAGAGGAAGTTAGCAATGAGGTAGGAAGTAAAGTTGGGACTGTCAGAGGACTGGGTGGAGGTTCTCAAACACGGAGCTCTCCCTGTCTGTACAGGAAGCAGTCACCCTCCCAGGAAAGAGCCCATTAGCTGCCTTCCCACCGTCCAGACTGTAACCTGGGGGAAGACAGATCTTAAGGGCTATGGGCAGGCTCAGGTCTGTGGCTAGAGACAGAATCCAGCAAGGTTGGGCTCCACACTCAGAGATCCTCGGGCGGACTGGGGAACCAAATCGCTCTGGGTGGGTTAGCGAGCTGGGCCATCCAATCTCAGCCGTGAAGTTTGTGCTGTGCGTGTGTGTGTGTGTGTGTGTGTGTGTGTGTGTGTGTGTTTGGGGGTGTTGTTTGCCACCTGCTTGTTGTTACATTGTGAGGAAGAGTCCTGATGTGGACCCAGCACGTCTGATGTTAGACCTAATTCCAGACTTTCTTGATTCTAAGTTAATAAAATCCCTTTCCACTTGAGCTAGAGCTGGGTTTTTGTCACTTGCAACAAAAATGACTTAAGACATTAAATTTAGGCACCATTTGTGGAGCTCAGCGAGGAGTGGGCCCTGTCCTGAGCATGGGCCGAGCACAGTTGACTTGACCCTTGTGACCACTCTGTGAAGGAAGAGCTGTTGCCACCCCCAGGCTACCAGTGAGCAGCGAGGGCCAGCACGAAGGCGCTTGTTGAAGGACAGAAATGCAGGTCAGGGGAAGGTCTGAACTCTGCTGCTCAGTGATGCTTCCCATGGACAAGGTTGTTTTCCTTTATATTCCGTCCTCTTCACCTTATTTCACAAACCTTTTTGGGTTTTGTCGTTCGCAGGAAATGCCTTTTTTAGAAGGTGAGTAGGATATAGGAGGGATCGACATAAAGTACATCCAGAATCATCAAGATGTTGTGTCTTTCTGCACTGATTAAATATTTCCAGTAAGGTTTCTTCTCTTTCTTGACAACCCATCCTGCGACTGGTCAGTGTCGTTATTAAAAATTGCTTCAAGGTTTGCTGAAATCTGCCTCCTTGTAAGTCCTACCCATTGTTTCTCACCCGGTGTCTGGGTTGCTTTACGGCATTCCCAGAACCAGGCAGGAGCACACAAAAATTCTGCAACTGGAGCCGCATGGAATTGAACACCAAGGCAAGCTTTCAGAGTGTCTGGCAGGCAAGGCAAGAAGGGAAAGCCTTTTTGATCGGGTAATCTGGTCAAGAAGCAGACCAGCTCCAACAGGAGGACCTGATTGGTCCTGGGAATCGTTCTACGATGAATTTATTGCAATAGTCCTCAACCAGGGCAACCCTTCCCCAGGGGACATTTGGCAATATCTGGAGACCTTTTTGGTTGTCACAACTGGTGGGGGGAGAGGGAGTGTGCTAACGGCATGGAATTGTTAAAGGTCAGGGAGGAGGCTAAACATGTCCTCTGACAACAAAGAATATCTTATCCATTTGTCAGTGGTGCTGAGAAAGCAGCTGTGGTTTATCGTGGAGTAATTCACAGGAGGGCCATGCACATCTTCAGTGCGAGCGGGCGGAGCGGGGTTCTGCGGCCAGCAGACCCTCGCGGGCAACACGGATACCAGGAGTGCAGCCAAAGGGCCGCCTTGTCTCTGGGAGCTGCTCTCCTTTCATGTCTGTGGAAACGACCACACAGCCCCACAGAACTGCTGCCTACAGGGAAAGGGCTCCTGGGTGGGCCTGGGAGGCTTTTAGTGGCCCATGTGCTCGAGGGCCTTGGTCTTTTCTTTTTTATCCTCACCCGAGGATCTGTTTATTGATTTGAGAGTGGAAGGGAGACAGAGAAACATTAATCTGTTGCCTCCCATAATGTGCCCCAATCTGGGATCAAACCCAAAATCTAGGTATATGTACTGACCAGGTATTGAACCCTCAACCTTTTGATGGATAGGCTGACACTCTGACCCACTGACCCACCCAGCCAGGGCAGGAGGGCCTTGGTCTTTTGAAGATCTGACTACAGGGTCGGGGAGTCATATTCATTATTAAAAGGGTAATATGCTAATTAGACCAGACGTCATTCCAGACGTCCTTCCTGACGAAGCCAGGGCCGGAGGGAAGCCAGCCTGAGTCCCGGGTGCCTGCGGGCGGCCAGAGGAGGGAAGCCCGGGTCCCTGGTGCCGGAGGGAAGCCGGTGCCCGCAGCTGGGGGAAGGCCTACTTTTGCACGAATTTTCGTGCATCAAGCCTCTAGTGTGTGTGTGTGTGTGTGTGTGTGTATGTGTGTATATATATATGATTGATTTCAGAAAGGAAGGAAGAGGAAGAGCGATAGAAACATCAATGATGAGCGAGGACCATTGATTGGCTGCCTCCTGCACGCCCTCCACAACCAGGGCATGTGCCCTTTACCGAAATCAAACCCAGGACCCTTCAGTCCGCAGGCCAATGCGCTATCCACTGTGCCAAACCAGCTAGGGCCATATTCATTCTTTGATTCTCAACAGCCTCAACAGCCTACAGAGGCAGGTCCTGGGTATGGCCACCAAGACCCTTCTTATTCCAGATTGAACCACCCAGCTTCTTGGTGTTCCTGCCAGACCCCAGACGGGCAGGTAGGTGCTGTCCAAGGTACTGGTCCTTTCCTTACTTGCTAAACAGCTTACCCATGGGTTTCAGGGGCCCCATCCCATCCTTCTCTTTCCCACCCTTTTCATCTTGTTGCTGGCTGGACACCTATACCCTTGAACCTCATCATATCCTGATGGATTTTGTGAGTTCTGACTAGTCACCCAGCCAGTCAGTGCACCAATAATCTCCCAGCCTTTGCCCACAATGGAGGAAACTGCAGGACCAATATGGTGTCAACCCCTTCATTCCCCCTCTGAGGCCTACCCAGTCTTTTAATGATCGAAATCTCACAACTTCATTGTCTTCTCACCTACTCACCTTTATCTTCAGAAGATAAACTCTCTCCCTCCTTTATCCCAGCCACACATTTCTCATTTATAACATTGGCAGAGAGAGCTACTATTTATCTCCATTTTACAGATGAATAAACTGAGGCTAGAGGGGTGAAATTACTTGCCCAATGCTACAATCCAGGGCATAGGGAAGTCAGGATTTGGACTTTGTCCATCAGCCACAGAAGCCTGCACTCTCAATGTCTTGCCACACTGCCTCTGTTCAATACTAACTCCATCCTCTCCATGTCATTCATAAGTCGTCATGGCACCTGAACATTTTATACCAAATCTGCCTGCGAGTCTTTGCACAAACTGGCAAGGCCTCCCCGCCCAGAGTGGGGCGACCTCCAGAGTCTCCTGGTGGAGTCACTTTCCTGTTCAGTCCCCATTCACCCAAGCATCCTCTTTCATGTCTGACAGGCGGAGAGGGACTGGATGTTGCCAGGGTGGTGTTTATTGCTGGCTCGGGCATGGGTAGGTGGGGACTTGGGGGGCCTGAGGGTCTACCGTCCCGCCCCAGAAGCACTGGTCAGGGGAGCCCAGTGGCAAGTGGCTCTCCTGGAAGTTGCCAAATCTCAGCACGGCCGGGCCCTGGTACTTGAAGGCGAACTGGTCCTTGTACTGGGTTGAGAAGAAGCGCTGGCTGCCCAGCGGGGGCTCCATGTGGCTATGCTTGCACTGCGGAGCCAGGGTGGGTAGCCTGGCAGGGCAGCCTGGAGGTGGCTGACCCCCCTGGGCCACCCTGTGGCTCACCACCCTGGGAGGACCAAAACTTGGTCATGGGCTCTGGGGAGGGGGGCAAAAGGGACCCCAGTTTGGGCTGCCCCGGGAGCTGAATGAGAAACTGGGCGAGTAGCTGGGGTGACTCCAGGCAGCCCTGAGATAACCCTCAGCTTATGGTGTAACTGTGGCTGGTGATACAAAGATGACCCTGCCATGACCCTGGGGATGAGCTTGGAATGATCTTGAGGCCGGGATGACATAGCATCAAGATAACCCTGAGTTTGGAGTGACTCTAGAGTGACTCTGAGAGGACCTGACACTAATTCTGAGTCTGAGGTGATATTAAAGCATCCTGAGATAACTCTACACTGACTTGAGGGTTCCCCGGTAAGGGAGGGGCCCCTCACCTGCTGTAGCATCTCCTGGGTCATGGAGGCCGGAGCTATTCTGTGTGGTTTCAGCATCTTCTGGTTCAGGGTCAATAAATCTGGTTCTGGAGATTTGAGTGTGGGTGGCTGAACTGAGGGGCTGAGGAGGAGAGGCAGGCCCCAGAGGGCAGGGACATAGGAGATTAAGAAGGGGTAGGGGTTCAGGGTGCAGCCGGCCGATTAGGAGCAGGAAGGAGGGAGGAGCTGAGATGTCTGTTGGGGGTGAGGGTAGGGTAGGCTAGTGAGTCGGGAACCCAGCCAGAACCTGACTGAGGAAAGGGCGGTGTAATGGTGGAGGTGGGGGGTGGTTGTCATGACGACGAGGGGCGGGTTGTCTAGGGCAGGAGTTGGGATCTTGGTGGATGGAGTGGGATCTAGCCCTCCGGGAAGTAGAACCAGAATGAGGCCCAAGCGGTGGCAGGGGTGGGCCTTCTGGGGTGGGTCTCACTCACCGCCCAAGCCCTCTGGCAGGTTGCTAGGTAGCAAGTGCAGGTTGGGTGCTTTCTCTGGCCGCTCTGTGCTGGTGGGGGAATAGTCTGTGCCCATGGTGGTCTGGAAGAACTGCCCCCGCAGCTTCGACTCCCCTAGGATCACGTGATCCTGCAGTTTCTCATGAGGTATGTGGCGGCTGCTTGGGTTGGTCACCGGTGGCGGCTATAGGACCACAGGACACTAGGAAGTTCCCATGTCCAGCGTGTCCCAAGGCCCGGTCGGAGGGAAGAGCTGTGTGACCTTGGACAGCGCAACCCTCTCTGGACCCCACTTGACGGCTCACAGAGTTGGTATTCTCTCATTTTACAGACAGGGTCACTGAGGCTGGGAGGGGTTAAGGGGCTGCCCTAGATCATGCGAATAGGTTCAGGAGAGCACTGTACACATGTCAAGCTGACTCCTACCTCAGGGCCTTTGCACATGCTATTTGCTCTCCCTGGGAAGCCCTTTCCCCGACGAGCCCTGCCTGCTCCCCAACTTCCCACTGACCTGGCCATAGAAGAAGTTCATGGAGGTGGTGAGGCTGCCTGGACCAGGGCACCCATTTCCTTCCAGGATGTGGGACTCGGGAGTCTGGTCGCTGTGATGAACAAAAGGCTCTGCCAGCGGCAGAGTGCGGCTCAGCAGCTCTAGGAGGCTGCCCTGGCGCCAGGGGCGGGCCAGCCGCAGCTCTCACCTGGCTGCCGGCCATAGAAGTGCTCGGCACTGGTGGTCCTGTCATGGAAGAGGCCGTCTCCAGGACTAGCACTCGAATAGTGGATGCAGGCTGAGGCCTGGGCCTTGTCATACCTGCATATAGAGGGGGCGGGGGTGGGGGAGGCATCCATCTGATCTGGGCCCTGGAAACTCCCGGGAAAAGGGATGGGGAAAGGGATGGGGGCAGGGTTCCTAGAGGGCAAGCATGTGGTGCTAATGGGGGCGGTCTGGCACAGCAGTGGGCCCAGTCTGCAGGTCATAGAGGCCCCAGTCTTTGGTGGCACACTACCCATCGCCGAGAGCCCGTAGCTGTCTTGGTGGCGGTCATGGCCCCTCTGTACCTGTCTGGGGGCAGATTCCTGGGCCTGTAGGCTTGTTTCTGCTCGGAATACATGGGCCCGCAGCCAACATTGAAGTCTCCCAGGGTCACACTGGAGGAGTCCTGTGAGTGGACAGGGGTGGGAAGGGCAAGGCCACCAGCCCGATCACCGCCCTCCCCGGCCGCACAGCAGACTTAATTTACCCTCTTACACATCAAGGCAGGGGGGCCCATCAGGGCCTGGAACTGCCTCTGGTAGGAGGTCCTGTCATCCCATCTCTTGTGGTCCGATCTCCTGTGATCCCATTTGAGGGGGGAGGGGCCCCCTGAGGGTGGCAGGATGACAGAGAGAAGGGGGTTAGGGCCCTGCAGCCTCAGGCCCACTGTGGAAGTAGGCAGTCCTGACTAGCTTAGCCTGAGGGTTGCTTGGCAAACACCAAAAATAATACAAATAACAAAAACAAGAATAACTGCCAAGTACTGAACCAGATATCTAGGTTAAGTGCTTTGCACCTCATTTGGGGGGGGGGGGGCTGGCAGTAGCCCCTCCTTCACTTTGCAGCCTCTCTGAGGCTCAGAGCCGTTAGGAATCACAGGAATCCAGCCCTGGCCCATGCGTCTCAATGGGCTGGGTATCGCACCAAGAGGCTGCGGGTTCATTCCCGGTCAGGGCACACGCTGGGGTTCAGGCTCCATCCCTAAGGTTTCAGGAGGCTGCGGATGTTTGGTTCCCACATCTATGTTTCTCTTTCTCTTTCTTTTCCCCTCCCTTCCGCTCTCTCTAATAATCAATGGAAAAATACCCGCGGGTGAGGATTAACCAAAAAAAAAAATAACAGATAATTTATATTGTTGCATTCTATGTTACTATTTAAAATCCAATCTTTTAAAAATTATTTTTTAATCTTAACCAGAGGATTTGTTTAAAAAAATTGATTTTAGAGAGAGTAAGGGAGAGAGAGAAACATCTATGTGAGAAACATCAAGCATTTGCCTCCCATCCATTCCGACGGGGGATTTGGTGACAGCTGCTGGCGGCGGGGGGGCGGCCCCCACTCTGCCGGGGCCCCTGCACCTGGGCGCTGTTTGCTGCCCCTCCCGCCGAGGGGGCTGTGCTGTGGCCAGCGGCTGTGTGGAGTGTGGAGGGCTCAAGCACTGAGACGCAGGGCTGGTGGAGGTGGGGGCACTAGCAGACTTGTCTGACCCCCAGTCCAGCGTTCATTACTTCTGCCCACAGCACAGCCTCTGACAGGGCTCAGGAGATGTGCCCATTCCACGGTGCAAAGAGCGAGGTTCCGGGGTTTCCAGCCTCGCACTATTGACCTCTGGGCTGGATCACTATTGTCAAGGTGGGATGTTTAGCAGCATCCCCGCCTCTGCACCCCAGCAGCACCCCTCTCCCGCTGTGACAACCTAATCCATCCCCAGACATGGCCAAATGTG